CTCACTTTATGGGATTTATATGTGAGTTGGGGATTAGACACAAGAGACCCCAAGAGCGCGGTGGTTGTTGGGGTGTTTTGGGGGAGTTGAGGTCCACACATCTTAAAGTTCCCAAGGTTGAGAAACACTGCTCTAGAGGGAAATCACTAATGCGGGGGGGGGGCAGGGGTGGAATGTTGAATAAGCAAGGTGTTGCAGTCTACTAAGGACAGATTACACCTTCCCCAACTTAGTCCCCCCCACCCCCACCTGTCTCTATATTCTGTATAGTTTTCTTGAACCCCGAAGATGGGAATGACGAAATATGTCACAGCATTGTAACTGGCAGGCTGGCCCTGGCAGAATACGCTGTGCTTTTCCAGCTCAGAGACCACAGAGTGCCTGCGTGCAACGTCTGGGGGTGGGAGAAGGGAAGGAGAACCCTGGAGTGTGAGAACTGTTAACAATGAAAATGCCAGCATTGCGGTGCCCTTGCAAGACAAGTGGCATTCAGAGAGTCCTATCAAATAAACATTTTAGGTATTTAATCTTCCAAGGTTGTGTGCAGTTGCTTTTATTCTCTCTCCTTCCCAGGAAGACAAGAACAACACACTAAATTGCCAGCTGGCCACTTGCGTGCTGGTTACTGCCTGCTGTAAGATCAGTCGAAATTATTATTAGAGTGGGTGAAGTTACCAACCAAACGAAAAATGGAAAAATGAAACAGACTCACGATCATCAAGTTGGAAGGGATTGTTTAGGGCAGCATTTCTCAACCTTGGGAACTTTAAGATGGGTGGACTTCCACTCCCAGAACTCCCCAGCCAGCCATGAGCTCCAGCCATGAATAACCTCCACCCTGTTGTACAGATCTTACTGCCCAGAAATCTTTCCTATTTAGGTGACATCTAGATTGATTGATCCTTTATTTATTTATTTATTTATTGCTTGCTTGCCTTCAAGTCAGACAAGCCCCTGCAGTTTTCAGAAGTGGTTTGCCCTTGCCCAGAAGTGCTTCTTCCTAGGACTGAGAGAGAGTCACCCAGCTGGCTTTGGGCCCAAGGCAGGACTAGAACTCAGGATCTCCCCATTTCTGGCCCGATGTTTTAAGTACTATACCAAACTGGCTCTCTAGATAGCTGCAACATATACCCATTCGTTCTGGTTCTGGTTCCTGTGGCCAGGGAAAAAATTCCTCCTGTCCTCCTTTAACACACCCGAATGGTGGTCTCGTGCCTCTCCTCAGCCTTCTTTCTGCAGACCCCCCTCCTCGGGTCCTTCAGCCGGTCCTCTGTCATCCCGGTTGCCCTCCTTGGGACCCGTTCTGACTTGCCAGTGTCCTTCCGGAAAGGTGGCGCCCAGAGTCGTGGGAGAGAGGGAGTAAGGCCTCGCGTGGGCTGCCTTTAAGCTAGCCAGGACTGCGTTGCCTGTCCTAGAAGCTGCTTCGCACCCTGGCTCGCCTTCAGCAGGCTGCCAGCGAGCGCAACAAGCCCTTTTCCGATGGAGCACTCGAGCCACGGACTCCCGTCCTGCTTGTCAGCACTACGGTTTCCTTCCTCTTGACGGGCGTCCTCCTCTTCCCAGCCGTCTTCCAACCTGCTCAGATTCGACTGCAGTCTTGTCGTCCTGGGCGTTGCCCAGACCGCCCAACTTTGCATCCCCCTCAGCAGCCCACCCATCCCATCGTCCAGGTCATTCGGCTTGGGAAAAATGAAGCCCGCCTGGATCGGACTGGCACTGCACCTTGGTAAAGGTGTGTCATGTGCGAACATTATTATCGGGTTAATCCTTGGATGGGAGACCACCAGGAAAGCACAGGGTGAGGTGGAAAGTCAGTGCTGATGGCAAACGCAGAGCCTGCATGGCAAAGGTTCCAGACCAGACCAGGGATGCTAGGCCTCCAGTCCATCTTCGGCTCCTGGGATGACTTTGGGCCAGTCGCTCCATCTTTGGCCGGCCTACCTCGCGGGGTTGTGGTTGGGGAAAATAAGAGCGAGCACAATCCACGTAATAAATAAACCACGACGCAGCGGCTATTCCTCCCCCTGGGAATCCTGGGAACTGTAGTCCCGACGCCTGGACGGCGGCCGATTGGAACTACGGAATCTGCGCCTGCGCCGCCACCACGCGGGAGGGGCTCCTGAGGGCCCTTTGGAGCCTTGGGGGCCTTTCCTGCCCTCCCCAGAAGAACGCGCAGGCGCACCGGCGGCGGCACGGGCTGACTGACTGGCCACGCCCCCTCCTAGACATAGAGTCAGTCTAGAATTAGTCCCCCAGGGTTCCGCTTCGTACCATAGAGTTGGGACGGTCTCTCCGGCTCGTGGGAGGGGCCGGAAGTGCCCACGCGGTCCGGAAATGACGAGGGGCAAGGCAGGCAGTGCGTGGCGACGGCGTTGCTGCGAAGGGCGGCGGCGGTGGGGCTCGCCCGCAGGTACTTGAGCAGCGGAGGGGCAGCAGGCGGAGGAGGGCTTCCTTGTCCTAGCAGGGGGAGCGGGTCGGCGTGTGGCTCTCCCGCCCGCGCGCCTCCCAACGGGGTGCCCTCCAGTGGGGGACTACAGCTGCCATCATCCGCGGCTAGCCCAAGAACTCTGGTTTTCTCCATTCTGGGACGCCAGATATGTAGGACTGCAATTATTTATCTTCCGTAGCTGACATACGTAGTACAGTTTCCCCAGTCTGCTCTTCCCAGTATGAGATTGCAGCTCGCATCATCCATACTAATGTAGGCGCTCCGTTTTCCCTCTTCTAGCACTCCAAATGCGTAAGACCACAAGCCCCATCATCCATAGCTTACAGTTCGCCGAAATCTGGCCCTCGGGTTTTGCAAGGACTACCATGCCCATCTTCCATAGTGTATATAGGCATTACTGTTAAGATGGTGGTTGAGCCCCTTTGGGGGTTTTTGGGGGGGCGCTGCCCGGCCTTTTTGGCTGTGCCTTCTGATCAGTTGTCTTCTTTTTCCTTCAGCAGACTATGTTTTCTTTTCATGTTTCTATTTGTAAGCCACTAGAGTCGTCGTAGCCTCAAAATTGAGCGAGCAAGCAAATAAATAAATAAATAAATAAAATGCATGCTGTTTCCCTAGTGTGGGCCTCAAATCTGTAAGACTGCAATTCTCATCACCCACGCAGCTTACAGACGTTTTCCAGTTTTCCCTAGTCTGGCTCTCCACACACATCAGACTACAGTTCCCATCATCCTGACTCAAGGTCATAATTCTCCTTCGCCCAACATCTTAACCTTCATATCCATAGGACTGCCATTTTCATTATCAGTCAGCCAAGTATGTAGTTTGCAGGGAATGATGACGCCCACCTCCTGGAGATCAGGTTAGCCCCAACCCTGCTGGCCTTTCATAAGGCCTTGAAAACATGACTTCTTGTCTGAGCTTGGGGCCCCACACGTGGGACAGAGCCTGCCTCCTGGTTATGTGAATGGTGGTTTATTGTTATTATTTTTTGTATGTGCTTTATCTATTTTATTGTAAGCCACCCAGAGTCACGTATGTGAGATGGGCAGCAGAGAGCTAGCTAGCTGCCGGGCATCTGGAGTTAAGAGTAGAAGCTTTCACAGAGAAACTGTGGATGCCGATAGCACCCATCTCCTAAATCCATTTCCATGCTGGCAGTTTCTCTCTTCTTCTTCCTCTGCCAGCTGACTGTGCCCTCCATCCTGGCACATGCCCCCCGTTAACTTCACCATCCTATTCCCCTGAGCATTTCACATTCCAGGCCTTCCATGCCCCCCACCCAGCTCCAAAATGGTCCTTCCAAATTTAGCTCATTGCACAGATTTATAACATCCAAGGTTGACACCTAAAGTTGAAAACTCCACAAACAGTTCTCCGCAAACAGTTTCCACCCCCTCCTTGTCTGTAAAATAGAATAACAGTGAAATAGGTAATAATTTACTGCAGCTTTGTGACATTTGCTGTCTTGGTCTAACAGTAAGTCTTCAGGTCTTTCTTTGGAAATAGTTTGTGAGTATGGATGTGAGAAACATTCCACAAATTCTTGCCTTTCTTTCCTCCCATTGTCCCAAAAGATACACTTGCGTGAACAGAAGAAGCAAGTTCTGAGTTTAAGAGAGTCCTGTCAGCTTGGGAAAGGAGGGTATGTTTGAGGAGTGCAGTTTACTGGAGGTGACACAACACCATGTGATCCCTTGTGTGGCTTCTGTTGGGCCACAGCGAGCAAAGGAAATAGTTTGCACACGCATCCCTCTGCCTCAGCCCTGGAGAAATACACACGTACACTTAACTGTGGAGGAAGTTTCCATTCCGGAAATGGATTTTTGGCCCACTCCTGGTGAGTCTGGTGACTTGAGTAGAGACAGGCAAAATTCTGCTCTTGGCAATTGACGTCTGAGCCAAATCTGGTTTGCCTAGTTTCCAACTAGCTTACTAGTTTTTTGGGAACCAGTTTCTCATTCAAGAGGGGAAAACTGGTTGGTTACTAAGCAACCACACGTGTCTGCCTCCGTTAATTAGGACAAGGGATGCCTGGCCGTTGTCAGCAGCCTCCTTCATTCCATTGGCTGATCCTGTGAGTAACTGCAAACAATTGAGACAGGACTCGCAAAGGGAGAAGAACTAATTTGGAGGGCTGGGAGACTTGACGTTCATCAGAGAAGGTGCAGGTACCGGTGCTTGCAATGAGGAACTGGCAAATGTGTGCTACTCAGAATCTGGCCTCCGCCCGGAATCGTCACTGATACCCTCAGAACTTCCAAAGAAACCAATCTGATTCTGAAGACAAGACAATCCCCCACCTTCAGAGCGTAGCTGACCACAAATACCGAATCTCACCCAAATGGCACTTGTCCATCTTGCAGCGCCGGGGAGGGACCTCAGTAGCTGATGGCTGCCCTGCAAAACTCTTGATTGTTTGGGTTGCTCACAAGCAAGAGATGCTTCAGCTTCTTCTCTGCTAACAACCTTCTTTGTTTTGGTTTTTGTCAAGGGGTTTCAGGATTCTCCCTGCTGCTCTCTGCCCACCCCGCCCAGTGCGTCATGATGACTTACCACATTCGTGAGTACCGTCCCGGGGACTACGAGACAGTGCGTGAGCTGTTTGCCACAGGGATGAGCGAGTACGTGCCCACCCTGTGCATACATATGCTGAAGCAGCCGTGGGTGATTCTGGTCCTCACCTGCACCTTCAGCCTCTTGCTCACCAGCTCCAAATCACTGCTGCTGCCCATCCTTGCTGTCACCCTGCTGTTAGCCATGGGCCGGCAACTGCTGGGCTACTTCTGGTCTATGTACATTGACCGCTGCCTGCAGGAGGACCTGCTGGATATCCAGGCCACGTACCTTGGCCACAAAGGCTCTTGCTTTTGGGTGGCCGAGGTAGATGACTGCGTGGTGGCTACTGTTGGCGCCAGGCCCTCTGAGGAACACCACAAAGAGCTCATGTTGAAGCGTATGTCTGTTCGGAAGGACTACCGGGGCCTTGGCATTGCCAAGGCTCTCTGCAAGATTGTGATCTGTTTTGCTCGGGAGCATGGCTACTGTTCCGTGGTGCTGAACACCCTCATGGTCCAGCATGAAGCCCGTGCAATGTACGAGGGGGTTGGCTTCCGCAAGTATCACCACTACGTTCTACCGACTGTCTACGGCAGGCTGGCCAGCTGTACTGTTTCCAAGTATCGCTATGACATTCCCAGTGCAGACTGAGGAAGCTGCTGAAGGGTTCTCTCTGGCAACTGGATGGATCTGTCCTGTCGTCCCATTTCTCCGTCCTGCACCTGGGGCACCACGGGCAGGGGAAGCGGTTAGGTTCACATACTGCAGAAAGATGCATCTCCGCCCCTGGATGCTGATTTTCGGAGGGCTTTCATGGCCTCCCAATATTTTAGCAATGTGGGAAGGAAAGTACCCTGTTTCCCCACAACGCCTTTGCAAGAGAGAAAGAATTGTATGTTTTCATTTGCAGAGAAAGAGTAATTTTCCATCAGCCCTGTTTCCTGCGGCTTTGGTATTAATAGTTCCAAAGTCACATACAGGCAGTCCTTTTTCACACGACAACTAACTGCCCCAGTGTGCCAGAAAAGACTGTTGGCTGTTCTCGTGGAGGGGGCTTTTTTGCCTACTGTGCTTGACTTGGTAGGAACAGTTTCTTTCATCCTGTCACACTGATACAGCATTATCTACCCATTTTCTTCCAGGGTACACAGCACTTTGCATTCTGCTGACTTTGATACACAAGAAATGTGGTCTCTCTTTCCCGATCTGAGGCTTGTTTCTCAGAATGAGAACTCCTGCAATGTACCCCATTACTACAGCATTCATACTGATCCCCAGATGAGTGTGCTGGATACCTTGGAGTAGCTTCCCGATGCGATGGATTTCAGCTCCTTGGATTCCCAGCCCCAGTGCACCCAGGAGGTGGCAGGCTGGAAGAGGCTGCCTTGGACTGCGTTGTGTCCCTGGGTCTTTTTCGAGCCATGTTTCTACCCAAGGAATCATGTTTCTTGTTTCCCCAAATTAGGGGACAGAAATTGTTTCTCTTATATTGATCTTCTCTTAGAAATATGGATGGATGGTGTAAATGAAGGATCAAAAATTAATTTCTACAGGAAAATATCCCCACAAGGTGTTTTTCTCCGTATGAACAAGCCCCAGATCTTTTATCCCTGTTTTATAGGGGCAGTATCTGAACCCTTCAGTCATTTGAATCAACCGTTTCCTCAGCCCTCCCATTCCCCTGCTTCCCCAAATAATTGAAGGTGAAGAAGCAAGAGGGGAAATAATTTTAAACTTCGCTGGCAGACCTCCATTTTCCAGGAGTTCCTGTTTTAAAGTTTCTTACAGAGTCTGCCATCCGCCAGGTTGAACATACTGATGCACTGTAATCTACCTAGCTAGGAATTGTTAGCTTTAAGGACTGAGATATAAAAAGGAGTTTATTCTGAAAATGAAAATATAGGCAAAAATTGAAAAAAAAATAATAAAGCAGCAAATCTATACAAAATCCTGGTAAAATCAATACAGTCAGTCTAGCTAAAGTTACTTTTTACCAGCTGTTAGCTTTCAGCCCATGGTCAAGGTTCATTGTGGAGAGAACTTTTGGAGAGAGATCATCTGGGCCTCCTGCTTGGATGTTGATAGGCGGGCCCTCCCTGCTGTTCGTCTTTTTCTCTTCCTCCGTTGAGCAGTAGCATCAGTTTTACAGAATGTGGAATAGGAGTGAAAGCCAGCTTCTTTGAACAGTCGGACTGTCGCTTTCCACAATCAAGAAAACTGCTACATCTCTGATGTTGTAGATCTAGCCAGCAAGTCGGGAATTATCTAGTGGCTAAATTAAGCTTCTTAAGAACCCCAAGTGAAATGATAAAGATGCAGCCTTGTTTTCCACCAGTTGGGTGGCTGTATAAATGGGATTGCATCAGAGAGGATTTCTGGGGAAACAAAAGCTGAATTTCATTTGTTCAGGCTTTCGGTATTGGGAACTGTTGCATCATGTCAAAACCTAGGGGTTGTTACACTCCATTTTTAGGAAAAGTTAGAAAACGCAGCACTGGATTTGAGGTTTCCTAGTTAGGAAGAAAGTAGGGTGGAGTCCTTGGGATTTTCTGAGCTTGGCTGTTTTCACAGTTCAACTCTGAGCTACATATATTCTCTTCTAAAAAGCAGGGTGTAAGAGCAGACACTTGGTTGTCCATGATGCAGAGAAAGTGGAATGCTGGAGATGCTTCTCATAATCCTGGAACTGGTTACCAATCTGAGATTGAGGACAGACAAAAAAGAAATATTTCTACAGTATTTACTGAAAACATGGTATTTACTTGCACAAGATGAGTTGGCTTGGAAATGGGGCTGGACCGAGAGACCTTTGGACTGATCCAATAGGACATTTTGGTACCAAGGAGATGGCGGTCAAGCCTTTGCCCTCTGCCAAATTTCTTAGTAGGAAGGAACATGCGTGAATATGAAGCCTGCTTTAGGAAATTTTAAAAAACAGCCTCAAACAGTTGAAGAATTTTTGATTGTTGGGCGATGGGATAGGGTGCTGCTATTTCGAATGGATTGGGTCCCTTTATCTTCAAATCTTTGTGCCTACGCCAGTTTTGAATGTCTTGCTGTGTGAACAGTGACCCTGTTGTCCTGTTAGTTCGTGCATTGGTGTTGTACAGTGCGGGGAAATAAAGTTAATCATGCTTTCTTGAAACATTGCTACTCCCGATACTTGTTTATGTTACGACATCTGAGTTCCAGTACAGTATATGTTGGAATGCGGGCCAGGCGGGGGGGGAATGACAGAAGCCTTTTGTGAGCATCATTTCTGCTCTTCTCCTGGATATCATACCACAAATTTTAACTCAGTACTAACAGATATGTAAATGAGCATGTTATCTCCACAGTTAATAAATCAGGTCACTGTAGTGAAACCATTGTTTAGCGTTGCATATATCTACTTGAACAGCTCTCCCTCTGTTTTCCACCAGCACAGTCAGGAGGAAGAATCAAGCCTCACAATGAATCTGGGCAGCGGACAGATTAAAAATGCAACCTAACAAGGAGCCAGTGTTTTAAAAAAGAGGGCTGCGACCGAGGGGAACCAACAGTTTCCAATTATTTTAACCCAGTCCATTTCAGCCCCTAATGCAGGGCCTGCGGAAGGAGCCACAGGTCCGGGGCTAGTTGGACCTCTGGAGGAATGCTGTTCCAGGGGGCAGGTGTTGTGAGAGAAAAGCATGCCTTCTAGGTCCCATCAGATAGCGTTGTTAATAGTTGGGACCCCAAAGCCAGATCTTACAGGAGAGGCAGAAACAAGGTCCCTCAGATGGGTCCCATGAAGGCGGCTGTCAGTGACAACCAGCATTTTGAATTGCACCCAGAAGTTCATGATAACCAGTGCAGCTCATGCAACAGGATGCAGACGTCACCAGGTCATGACCCTAACTGGATATGACATAAGTGCCCCCTCCCCACATGATACTGGAGTCACAAGGTCACGATGCCTACTGCACATGACATGTTGAACCTAATCCCATCAAGGAAAAGCTGACTGTCAACCCTTGAGGCGTGACTGGCTTAACCCCAAGCCTAGCCCTAACCCTCTCTGGGTTCAGACCAAAACTAAGTTAAGCAAATAATTAACAGAACCCTAGACTGCACTGTCTTTGGGAAGCAAGCCCTGTTTTGTGCACTGTGAACCAAGCTGAGGAACTGGCAATGCAGGTGCCAAAGAACCAGGCTCCAGCAGAAACACGGGCAGACTAGAGGTGGGCCTTCCTAGTCCTGGCCTATACAGAGGATTTTGACCTGCAGCTGGAGGTCAGCCCCCACAAAAGCTGGTGGCTGTGGGCAGAGAGCTGGAAGTTGACCGGAGAAGGAACGGTTGCCAGGAGGGCAAACTCCTGATGAGAGCTGAAGCTTTGCAGAAGTGAGCCCAATAAAAATAAGACCACTTGGCTTCAGTGGCATCTGGATGGGGAATGCAGAAAACCTGGTATTTAAGGGTGCCTTAAAAGTCAGCTTCCTCAGTGGAAGAACTCCAGCGGGAGCCTTATCTCAGATCTATACATCTTGTAACTACGGATGTGAATTCCTGGATCCCTGGACGGCGTTCCTTGAACCTTCATGCCGGAGCTGGCTTGCTTGATCTCCATTAGACTTGGACGCTGCTACTGCCAGGCCCCACGCATCTTGGACGCAAGCCTGAAGAACGATTTACAGGTTTATGATCAAGGCCAATAATAAGTGGACATGATTTATGACTATGTTTATTCCCTGCGGTAGCTTTGTTAAGCTGTAAAAATAACAATATAATGTAGCAACATTCTCTGAGAACTTCTGGAGGTAATAACTGGGGAGAACCGATGTGTTGTGGTAGTGAGGGGGTAGGACAATTCACAGGCGGTCTCCAACAGTCTCAGCCCAACCGACTTTCAGGTTTTGCCGGTACACAGCTAAAATGAGGGAGACCCACCTTGACATCCTGAACAAAAGATGGGATATAATTGGAATAAATAACATAAATAAATTTAGGCCCACATATGTGAGCTACACAGATGCCCTCCAGAGAAGACAAGGAGTCCTCTACCAAGGTGGCATAGTAGTTAAGAAGTTCAACTGGAACCAGAGAGACCAAGTCGAAGCCTGTGCTTGACCATGGGCTTCATGAATGACCTTGAACCAATCACCCTCAGTCCAGTTTACCACATAGAATTGAGACATCAAGCTCCTATGATAGAATTTCTTCAATTCTGTGTCCCTCTGCCCCCCAAATGCCCAGTTGGCTCATCCACCACCCTGGGCATGGGACCTCACTCTTGTGAAGCTGCTGCAAGCTGGCCCGTGTTCCTCCTCCCTACCTTTTCAATGGGGCCTCAAGTAGTCAGTTGGGAAACGGTGTGTATGTGGGTGGAAGTATGGTGAGGGATGTGTGGTTCTGATA